GACGTATTGCGAACGAAATTCACGATTGAAGGAAGTTGCGGACTCGGACACCGCAACTTTCCTCAATCTGGGTTTTGAACTAAATTATTCCCGCGGTGTTAGAGCACCCGCACTCGTTTGTGGTACGTTTCGGTAACTTTTGTGGTACCGACCTGTACGGTAAGTTAAAATTTACTAATTATGTACAATTATCACACTTGTGTCCAGTATCTGCCATGTATCATTAGTTACTTCACCTATACTGTACAAAACCCACAGCGGTGAAAAGTTTGTAAATTTGTAAAACACAGAAGTAAGACTAGTAAATTTTGCGATCCAGAATGCCAGAAAGCACATTTTTCTCAAGACACCTCAAAAGAACAAGAGAATTTTTCAGGGAGGAGCTCGCATAGTGGAGTCAAGATTCAAGTTCAGATGATAATTCAGATCAAGACAATGAAAATGAACGACCAAAGAAAAAAATGGTACATAGGGATAGAGAAGCAGCAAATGCCCAACTTTTTGCCGACTACCTCTCCCCAAACCCAGCATATGACGAAGAGACTTTCTACCGCTTCGGGGAGCTCGTTCGATCTTAGCGTAGCAACTAGAAAACTTAAGTGTGGAGGTTCGGAGAGAGTTCCAGCTTCAAGAAACAACAATGAGCCATTGTATATGACTCAGTAGACAACATACTCAACTCACCAGGTTTGGACTTGCTCCCAATCACGTTGATGGAGGTCAATCTTTGAGTTGAAGTGATCGGCAACCTTCTTGAAGAGCATCTCGGAGGATTGATTAGTTCCTATCTCCGGTTCGGAAGAGACATGTATCCAAGACATGGCCAATTGCTGCTCTTCTTTTGGTGTCCAGTTCGGAGCGCGTGGCTTGCAAGATTTCGATTCTTTGGGTTCCATCGGTCAGATTGTGGTGTGTATGAATATTGTTGAGTGAGATGGAGGTTGATTCGAGTTGGAAAGCTACCGGACCCGAGTAGTTACTTGAGATAAAGTACGAGGTAGGCTATGATTATATTTACTTCTGTCTTACTTCAAATCAACCTTAAAATTATGTACCGCGGGTCTACTTTGCTCCCGGTGTGGAATAAGCCCCGCCGTTGCAGTAAATTTACACTTACCGCACTCGATTTGCCGCACGAGTGCGGATGCTCTTAGAGCATCCACTATCATGATGGTGATTTATCGTAAGTTTTGCGTTCCTGACCGCGAAATTTAATCACGCGTGTTTTACCTAAGTTGGTAACCGCATGAAATCCACTACGGATTGATGTAATGTCTGATTTAACTACGATAAATCACTGTGAATCAACCAGATCCACAGTGGTTTGATTTTGCGATGATTTATCATATCTTTCTCACAAATCCCATCCGAAAAACCATCCATCAGATGCCCACTACAAGTTCCTTGAAGAGACACATCGACTGTCTTTTGAAGTCTTCAAACCACAATGATGAGGAACATCAAGAATTTGAGCAACTTGTCTAGAAATCTTGTTTTATAGGCTTCACACACCACCTTCACCATTTCAGACTCAATTCCAAACAGATTGAGCTCGAGCTCAGCCTACTCAGCAATTGACTATTGTGCACCTCAATTCTTAAGGTGTCTCGCAAAAGATTAAGATATAGGGTGATGTTGTGATTGAAATCGATTCAATTCAAAGTGCAATGTTCCGAGATGTGATATCTCGAAGTTGAGATTTGAGGATGAAGTTTGAAATTTGAAGTTCAAAAGTGAGGTTTTGATGTTTGAAGTTTGAGAAATGAAGTTTCATATGCAGTTTGAAGTTTTGGGAACAGTAGTTTCGACTTGATTTCCTACGATAAATCAAGTCGTAGGCTTGCGTAGATTTGAACACACGGAGAGCAAGATTTGATGCAGTCGTACGGACCGCAAGTCTAAAACAGGTCCATAGTGGACCTGTGTATAATTTAGCGTTAAAGTTACGATAAATCACTTGGTTACCGCACCCATAGTGGATGCTCTTATATGATCTCATACATATCAACAAAGGGACAACGTAGTAGTCAACCGCAATTAAACCGCTGATCGGGGTTAAAGCAGGGACCATGTACGTTTGGCAACTTGCGTACTTTTCGGGACTGCTTCTGGTTTCGATAGTCCCTTGATCTTAGCCGGTCCCATCGTTGAAGAGAAAATCTTAAGCTTAAAAGGTGTATAAGGTGGATAACGCGTCTTGAAAAGAAAGTCAACCTTTGGTGAAAGGCTGATAGATGGACGCTTATAAGTGAACGTCAAAAACGAATGGTATCCTCGATAGCTTCCGTGACCCTGTTAGGTTCGTGGAGAGGAAGGTATTTGTCTTGGTCAGATAGGATTCTTGGATACTTGGTTAAGACGAGTCCTTGAGCTTTTCCCATCATATCACTCAACTGATTGACCAATGCCTCCAAAAGGTGAACCTGTGATTGCCAATTGGGTACAAAGGTCGTTGCAAACAATTTGACCCGATCTTGTGTGTTTTCTGACTGGAAAATTTGTATTTCGGCAAACACGTTGGTGTTTCGAAGTCAGAGATTCGAGATTTCGATCAGCATTAAAATGTTACTCATTGAGACAATTGCACTACTCACCAAGCTCCAAATTAGATGAAGTTTGAGTGAATACATAGACACATAATGGTTCAGCGTCTGAAATCGGGCGTAAGATTTCAGGCATCGTTTGTGATTCAAGGTCGTAGGTGACAATGGGAAAGATCGGGCCAAAGATTTCCTCTTGCATCAATGGGTCATCTTTCTTCACGTTTCGGACCAAAGCCAATGGCATTCTCAACTCTTCGGCGTTGTATGAATCAGCCTTTGAATGTAAAGTGCCATTGACTGGGATGAGATCTCCTTTGGTTGTTTTAAGAAGCTCATTTAGTCGATCAAACTGCTTTCGGTTGATAATCTTACAAAATTGAAGGACTTCTGAATTATCGCCGGATCCTCCCGATGGGTTCACACTTTTATTGGACGAAGATTGCGAGATAGAGGGAAGGGGATATAAATCTAGCATAGCTTTCTTCAGACTAGCTATCAACTTAGCTTCACTCTTCTTTGAAACCAAGATATAGTCTGGCGCAACACAGGTCTGGCCTGCATTCACGCCCTTTCCCCAAATCAGTCGACGAGCAATGACGGGGAAATCCGCGTCGTCAAAAACGATCGCTGGGCATTTTCCACCTATGGATGAAAGCGACAAGGAAGTGGGGGAGAGAATCAAACCTATCCGTGAGTGACTGGGATATCGACACCAGACTGATATCATGACAAGGCTGACTGACCTAATTCGAGCGTGACGGGTGTCAAGTGTTCTGCTGCTCGCTTGGCTACAATCCTTGCGACGCGCCCCGAGCCAGTGAACATAATGTGATCGAACTTGTGATCCAGCAGAGCATTAGACTCATCGGCAGCACCATTGACGACACGAATATGATTGTTATCCAAATATTGCGGAATAAGTTTGGTGAAAAGCTTGGCAATTGCCGGAGCTTGTTCGGAAGGCTTCAGAATCACAGCATTGCCACCGGCGATCGCACCGATCAATGGGACGATCGCAAGAGCAATTGGATAACTGTGAAATTGAATTCAAATGAAATCGAAATCCCATCAGGTCAATCTGGCTGAGAGGAGTATGATGCGGTGATGAATGAGGTCACTTGTGAAGACTTACTTCCAAGTGCCATATATCAAAACCAAACCCTTTGGTTCATGGTACGTCTTCGGTCTGGCAATGCGCCAAGCAAAATCCGTTTTGACAGCTTGTGGCTTGAGCCAAGATTTGAGATTCTTGAGGGCATAAATCACCTCATTTATGGTACCACCCAATTCACCAATGACAGTCTCAGTCTTCGGCTTATCGAGCTGAATGTAGTAGATGGAGATGTCAGTTGAATATGGATGTGATTACCGACAGGAACCCAAAGTATGTCAACTACCGGCAAGACTTACATCGACGACCAGTGCTTCAACTAGCAAGTTTTCATTGTCTTGCAAGAGGTATCCCAATTGCTTCAATTGCTATTGTAACCAAATGAGACATCAAGATTCGGGAATCGAGTTTGGGACTGATAAAAGTAAGGTAAATAGAGAATACTGACATGGATCCTCCAGTCTAAAGTTTTGGTGATCCCATTTGAGACGTTCTTACTAAGTTCTTGACAAATCTGCAGAAAAAAAGAGTCAAGGAATGAATTGATACGTAGACTACAGCATATCAAGCCAGAGCGCTTAAGGTCTGAAGTACGGAGTCTATCAAGTTATTATCGTATATACCTTTGAAATCTCGTCAATCGGAGTGAATTGGAGGCGATCTTGAGCTTTGTTGGATGAGCTCATCTTCAGTGTATGTGATTGTGATATGAGCTACAAGAGTACAAGGCCAGAAGGATTGGCAATGCGTGAGACGTTAATGAAGATGAAGAAAATATCAAGGAAAACAGAACCCCACAAAAGTTTTTGATGTCATCACTTTCTCTTGAATTCCATTGCGTTGGAGTTGCCCACAAGTTGTGAATTTTGTCCATCGTGACAATCCAATTAGATCCAATTCGGAATCGAGGTTCGAATTATAGAATCAGTTCATGAAGTTGGAAGACAGGAAAGGACAGGAAGTCAAATAGAGATGAACTTTATGAACTTTTATCTCATCGAATTTGAAAGTATGTGAGAAACAACAGGAAACAACCAGATCACCCATGCCCTCACTTGTCATCTGCTCATGCGAATCTCACAACGCAAAATCTCATTTTCAAACGATCATAAATGATCCGGTTGAGGGATCCTTGCGATATACATTTCGGCCGAGCTTGAGCAATCTTGATGACTGCCTTGGGCTCGCGGGTGAATTGTTCATTAAAGCAATGGGATGCTGTTAAACTTACAGTCATTTAAGAAGAGCTTGCCCCAAATTCCCCGCCAATTCGCTTGAGTTTTGCGGGCAATTTGGGGCAAGCTTTTCTTAAATGACTGTACATACATACATACAGCCGTTTCATGAAAGGTTGCAATTTTTTTTTGAGAAAAGTGATCCCCGCAGCAGAAAAATTGGATAAAAGTGGCACAACCCAGCTTAAAGACTTTACATGCACTTAAGCTTAAGTAAGCATATCTTGCGCGTTCGCCGCGCCCGTTACAATCTTAACGGGCACTAGTGGATTTGCAGCTATTTGCAGGCCTTCTTCCGGTCGTTCGACTGTCACACCACACCCACTATCTGCCATAAGGCAAGCTCTCGTCAAGCTCATGCATGGAAGAGAACCCCAAAACAACCCTTGGGGATGGAATGTCTGATTCCATCCCCCTTTTCACTCTTTCTCGAAGTGTCTGGGAGGACGTACCTGCCTCAAGCTCTGGTGATCAATATCCCTCTTCAAGAGACATCGAATCACCTTTCCCATCCGCCTCTGGACGTGATTTCTCTCTCCGCACCTTCCAAACGATCACTGTTTGTTGACTCTTTTCTCAATTGACCTCTCAAAAACATTTCAATCATCATCCTTCGTGTCTGACTCAACTCCTCTGTTTGTAGCTATTCGGAATACTTTCCATCAACGCGACCATTATGTCTTTGATTCAAGAACAAGGTTGGATGAATTCACGTGAGCATATTTCTATCTTTCAGCCACTATCTCCCTTGCCTTCCACTGACATACCTCTTCACTAGTCTTTGAGGACCCTCCACTTATTCACGATGGACCAGATTCCCCAGCTCGCCAAGCTGGAGGGAATTTGCTTCCCAAACCCGGTTCTCCAGCACGAGTGAAATTTGATAAAACCCATGAGGTCAAAATCAATGTCGAGTTCAAGATTGCTTTTGAGGACGAGCCGGACGAGCCACAAGTCCGCATTGGAGGATCCACAAAGTCTAAACCAAAGAAGACCTTTACAGTTATCAATTCTAACAACCTTCCGACCGGAAAAGGCAAATTTGTACGTGCCTGTCTTATAGGTAAGAGTCTGAATGAATTCAAGGTTTTGTGTGGCAACGTGATTGGGGAAATGCGAGAGGGGATGAACGAGGTCATTCTGACTGGGGAGATGGCCAAGGAGTTGATATGGAAAGTCAAGGTTGGAAAGACCCCATTCACCCTCAGTTCGTACACAGAGTGGCAGGAATTTGTGGACACAATCAATAGGTCCAAAACCAAAATTGGAGACCTTACCATCAGTACCCCTAGTGATGCTCAAAAGAAGCGTGAATTGGCCGCGGTTAGTTTTGTTTTTCTATTTTGATTAAGAAGCGCTCCCGAGTTGATTGTTTCGATTTCATCAGGTTTCAGCCACTGATCGACTTTTAAACAAGAAGACTTTAACGCCTTTGGAGATCAAGGTGTGCCTAGCTTCAAAATCTTCTCTTGGCAGAGCTGATCAAAGGACCTTGTTTGTATTTCCAGGAACATCAAGATGAACGGAACTCTTGGGAGCTTGTGGACAAGCTCATCCACCGTCATAGCCAGATTGGTCCGGGTGGCGATGGTGGCGAAATTTTGAGAGCCCCCTGGGACCCAACCTTCCGTTATCATTTTTCACTGCAAGGCGCACATATCTGGGCAAAAGCAATTGTCAGTATTCCTAAATTTCTCTATATGTTCAATTTTAGCTCATTTATCTGTGTCGGCTAGATCAATGGAACTGCGACTTTGGATATGCCTCCTAATTCTCAAGCTTACCGCGAGATAATGAAGAAATCCAAATGTCGTGGTGACAAATCGACTTCCAAAGATGCGCACACTTCCAATCTGAAACGCAGGATTAGTGGTCCCTCTTTGGCCAACAAGAAATCGAAGGCGATCCATTCTGGCAGACCGAGTCTTCCAGATAAACCAGGTGTTGCACAATCCACTTCCACTTCCACCTCCAACCAAGGTGAGTTTGGTATCCACGGCACTCGAATCACCTCAACTTACCGTGACTAACATATTGTTTGTTTTCATTTCCATTTCTAGCGGGTGCAGGACAAGACGCTCACATCGATCCATCCCTTCAAGATCCGAAGGTCATTGATATGACCGGCTCAGGTTCTGAAGGAGATTTCAAAGAGGATTTTGAAGAAGAGTTTGAAGAAGGTTTGGAAGATGATTTTGTAGACAGAACGTTGACCTCAGACGACATCGAAATCATGTCTTGAGATGACAAACCCTCAGAGTGTTGCTTTAATTACAAAAAGACAATTGTCATTGTCGGTTTCACACCTCATTCTATTCCAATTTGTCATGGTTTCCATGTGGTCGCTTCCACTGAAGCGACCTCTATTTTGGTTATCGATCTTGTTACTTTTTCAAAAGACATGCTATTGTTTCCTATCTTTTACAACCTGGTGTCTTCAATTGTCTGAATACTTTTGGTGTGGTTTTTGCTTATTCAATGATTGACTACTATGATGTTTCCCAAATTTAATTGGTGTCTTAAAGCAAAGATCCTACCTTGATTACATTCATTGATTAGAGCAGGTTTGAGTACTGATGATTGATACGGACTGAGACAATGTCTGTGACTCGTCCGATATGATGACACTGAGGACATCATCTCTGATGTTGTTTCTTTTCAACCATCTTCTTCATCCTGTCAAAAAATCAGATGTATCGGTCAAACACACTCTGAATGATGGAGATATAATGGTCTTTTATTGGGTTAGTTTGACCTGATATCCTTAAGCCCCAACTACCTCGAAACACACGCATGCCTCATCCCATATCGTTGTGAACGCTTTTTGTCTCCATAACAATGCTTTTGAGACAGAGAACTTGATCAAAGGTCACAAACTTTGTATCAAAGTTCATTACTCATCTTCTAACAAATTTGATTACACATTTGTTAGCAATGGAAAGTCGCTCGTTCGAGCTTTCCTTTTCTCACTCGTTCATTTTGCTCATTGTCATAAAACAAAGGAATCAATCATATGTTAAATTCAAAGTCAGACTCACTCCACTCTCTTGCACTACACATTTTAATTATAGTAGAAGTGTGAATACCACATTGTTGGCATTCATAGCCGAAAGAAAAAAAATTGAATTCAAGTCCAGTGAGCACAATTTAGGAAAGTTTACAAGCCATCTATAAGTCACAGCAAGAATGGATGGGTGTCCTTCAACTTTAACAGTCATTTTCGTACTAAAAATAACCAGAACCTCTAAATAGAGAAGTTGTCAGCTCCTCGGTGAATATGTCCATACAAGCGACCCAAATCGCTTCTTTCTCCTGATCTTTAGTGAGATCCCGATGTAGAATTCCTGATTGGCGAAGATCGGCCTTCAATGGCGAGAACCCCTTTTCAATTGGATTGAAGTCGGGGCTGTACGCTGGGAGGTAGATAAGTCGAATCCCCCGAGCGGCACAGAGGTCAGGAATTCGGCCACCGTGATGGATTCTGGCATTATCCATCACGAGAACCGAGTTCCTAGCCGGCCATGGTTGCATGAATGGCAACTACAGTCGTAGGAAGTGAATCAGCTGACCAATCAACATGAACCAAAAAGATGAAAGCTTACCAGATGAAATTCTAGATACTCCTCGAATCTCACTCGGTTGTAACCCCCCTCAATCACTTGAAGACCAACAATTCCACTCATGGAGATCGCTGGTAGGATCGTCCATCGATTCGCAGTAGTTGCACGTTGCAGGCGACGGGTTTGCTGTCCGCGGCGAGACCTGGCGTAATCTCGATACAAGCGCCGCTTGGTTAGGCTGCTCTCATCTGGAATTAATTGTCAGCAAATAATATCATTAAAAGAAGGAAAAATGTGGGACAACCTACCAGCAAAGACCAGACATTGCACATCAATGCCAAAAATTCTTGCGACATATTGGCCTCGAGCAATTGGACTTTGGTTTGGATGGACCGTTCGCACTTTTTTTCGGGTAAGGTTTAGTCGAGACTTGATTTCATTGAATAGATTACCAGTTGATAGGTTGATATTGAATGTTTCACGAAGTTTTGATTTCAGCTCGTCCGAATAAAGGGTGGGATCGCCGTCGAGGGAATCCATGAGGAAGCGCCGCTGTTCATCGTCCAGCCGAGTCGGAGCGCCTTGATCCATCCAAAGATTAGGATCGGTAACCACCGAGCGTGTAGTGCGGTAGAGGATATACCAACGTCGAACCGAAGCGATCGAAACCTGGAGTCCTAATGTACGGACAATATCCGGGTAGCTCATCCCTCGCAAGACCATTCGCACAATTGCAACCTTGAGGTCTGGGCTGTAAGTGTTGAAAGGCATTTTTGACGGAACTCAGCATGTGATGGGCAACGGTGAGAAGGGCAGAGAGGGATGAAAAACGAGGTTAGAGATAAGTGCGAGTCACGTACCAGATCAGAAAAGGGGCCCTTCGCCAAGGACGCACCCCATCGAGTGAGTGAGAATCAAATATGATCTGCATTGAGATAGGGGTGACAGATGACCGGAGGGGATATTGGGAATCCTCTCACGAGGATTCTTCTAGTGATCAAAACTGTACAAAGCAGGGCAATAAAACAAAACTCGGTTTTGTCACCGCGACGACTTTTTGAAAAAAAAATCAATCATTCATGAAACGGCTGTACATATTTTAGCTTAACACAAGCCCTCTCTGCGCGGCCACGTCCGCGCGCCTCGCAGAGGGGCTTGCGACTAATTGTCGAATTCTGGCACGGAGACTCCAGCCCTTAAGTCCTCTTAAGTGGTTTTTTGCTTTTTCCTGCTTCCCTTGCTGATAAACACCACTTTACCTTGCAGGGAGTGTTGTTTGGCATGGGGTTCTACACATACTGGTGGCCACCTTTGGTTGGCACTCTGAGTGGTGTAACCAACCAGGTAGGTTGAAAAGCTTTACAATCTCTGCCTGTACTGTCTCGTTTTTGATTTTACGGTTCAAATACAGCCCATAACCCCTTTACAAGCGAGACATAAAGCCTGGATACGTGTCTTGCAAACAGAATGACAGAGCATTCTTTCCTGGTTGATCAATGGTCAAAGACATGTAGAAGCCATTCATGAACATGATTGCCTGCAAGTCAAAGTGGTATTTATCAGTGAGGAAAGCGGGAAACATCAAAAAACCACTTAAGAGGACTTAAGGGCTGGAGTCTCCGTGCCAGAATTCGACAATTAGTCGCAAGCCCCTCTGCGAGGCGCGCGGACGTGGCCGCGCAGAGAGGGCTTGTGTTAAGCTAAATACATATTAGTATCTGTCGATATATCGAAGTGTTGCTGAGAGTCCAATCGACAGTTTCCAATCTGATTGAGATTCCCATGGGCCAAGGTAAAATCGGATCTTGCTTCCACATAAGAAATGACCAAGCTGCCAACTTGATCAACCTGAACGGGATCCTCCATATTCTCATTTGATTTCTTGGTCCTTCCGGTTCCTGTACAAGTCATAGTCAACCTCAGTTTAAGCATTTATTGTTAGTTTTGATCAATTGCGGGATACAAAGTAGAATCCGGGCACATGCCCGGCTTCTACTTTGTATCCCGTCAATGAAGTGTGGTAGATCCAATGGATTGTTTGGGATAGCAAGCAAAGCAAAATTGTGATTTTTAGAGATTCTTGATAAAATTTGATAAAGTTTTGTTGATCTCTGGCCTTATTATTTGCAAACAATTATAACTCAGTTGCAGCATAATTTTGATTGTTTCACTTTTTGCAAAGTACCTCATGGTTTTTCTATCTGTGTGTTTAGCAAAAGAAGTTTTGGCTTATTTGTCATGGGCTGAATACCTGTGGATGCTTTGCCCCATGAAATTTTGTTGACCCCTGGGTCAGATGTTTGTGCTCACATTTTGCTCTTTTGTTTTTGTTGTGGTGGTGACAAGGCACCGAGGAACTTCCCGGGTCCATTTCGGGAGAAATAAGCAGAGCATCCAGCTTCACGCCTTTCACGTAATGCTAGAAGCTGAGCCATGTGACGAGTGGGCTCTCAGACAGCGGTTTGGTACGCGTTAGACCGGCCCTGGATTCTCTCACCCTGTCTAGGGGTGAGGTTATCCTCCTCTCAGAGTTCAGAACCTCTCTGTTGGTCCTCTCTCTTCTACGAGTCGTCCACTCTTCCTAACCGCGAAGTCCTTGTCTTCACAATCTCCGCTTTCCTTTCCTCCCATCTTTACAAGAATCTTTTCGAACCCTCATGTCCTCTTTGGACTTTCCCACCCTCCCAGGTTTGAAGGGTCCCAATCCCTTATTCTCGTTTGCGCCCTCAGGACGCGCACTGGGCTAATTACCTTGCAGAAGGTCAAGCAGCCCAGGTGTTTGCTAGGTGTCCCACACCCGTTGCTTAGTGGGCCTCAGCCTCAGTCATACTGAGGACAAGTCCCATGGAAAGCATTAAAACGCTTAGCAATGAGTTTGGGGAAACAATTCTTTCCCCACCCCCTCCGCAGGGGATTTTGAGTAAGAAATGGACTATATCAATGACTTTGGCCCCATTTGGTATAGCTTACAAAAACCAGGAGAAATGTATTATTTTTTGAAAATAATCCATTTTACACTTTTTCAAAAAAAGTTGTTTGTTATCGCTTTTGCCCTCTTTTGCCCCTCATTTCAAAAGCCATTTTATAGTCCTTAATGGATTATTTTTGATCATTTTGAAAGCTCCTCTAGACCAGCTTTTCACATTTTAATAATTGTGATATCCCGATATCATTGTTTCCCTTTGTTATCATCTTTCTTTTCTTTCACGCTTTTAGATGTACTTTTCTTTTCAACTTGTGTGCTTTTTCTCTTATCAACTTTTCTCAAAAATGTGAACTGGATCCTACAACACCAGATCCGGTCATATCCTATCTTTCTAGATGTCTACAACATCTATACTTGTATCTCACTCTTCACTTGCCTTATATGTACTTTGCAGAGATGGATGTCTATATGTGACACCCATCCCTTGCTTGTGGAATGAATCCCCAAGCAGCTTCTCAACTCATTCACCGTACCGAATCCCAGTTGACACAATAACATCATCCACTTTTTAAGTGCATTAAGGCTTTTGTTGCATAAAACACTAACTAAACTTATTAAGTGAAAAGGGACTAATTTACCTTGAGAAGTTTGGCCATTTAGTTGGAGCAAAGGAGTTTGGTGTCATTTGATGGTCAGATCATCATCTCATCCCTCTTTTTTTTGAGAATTACTTTTGTAATTAGTCATTCTTTTGTTATTCAGACCTTTGTGCAAGCACGTCCCAAACCGGGATTTGGTGGATAGGATTCATATGCAACTTTTTAGACTGTCTTGACAGTGATATCCCCCCAACTCTGTAACAAAGTTAGGCAGACGTTGTTTCTGATATTTTTCAATCAAGCCCTGTTACAAGAGCATTTATCAACAATTTGTGGTATCATAACACTAAAAGCACAACCCAGTTTCTCGGCGAAACTGGATTAAACCCCTAAGGCAAGCTGTCCACTAGGACTCTAACCCCCTTAGGCTCAGCTGTTCCGACCTCACCTCTCTTCATGGCCGGTCAAACCACCATGAGTTCTATCTTTTCTGTTCATTGATGATATCACGGTGAATTCGAACGCGTAAAACTCCAATTAAAAACCTAAAACTAGATCAACAACTAATTAAAACCCAAAACAACAACAAGCTCAAGAGATTGATCATGATCATGATGAAGGTGTAAGGAGTGATCGAGAATAAGCACATATCAAATGGTATAATATCATCTCACAAGATAATGATCTTTTTAGTTGGTCTTGATCCTTCTTTAGCTAATTCTCCCGAAAATGTATTAACCGTTTTTCTGGAACCATTCCATTAGATTTCATCCAGAATGGTAGCTCAGTTATTGAACATACTCTAGAAGATTGAATCGAGATGTCTCATATGCATCATAACTTACTCAACGATCATCCAAACAAAATGGAATAGACCAAAACAAATTCGTCGTCTGATCCTGTCAAACAGCTGATCAAGGAAGATGTGATAGCCCCATCGATAGTGAACTCGGGCTCGGTTGAAAAGATAGAAAAGAAAGAAGATAGTCAATTAAAGGTAGATGACCGGCATTGGATCATTGATTCGATGATGACATCGATATGAAGAATGCTCCATTGGAGCCACAAACGTGATTGGAAATTCTGTCTTGTCTCCAAATTACTCATTTGACAAAAACCGACTTATTTGTTCTGACACAAAGATTCAATTCAATTCATCAAAATATTATCACAGGCATCGTGTTCTTGCGGCTTACGATGATCCTCGGGCTAATCTAAATGAACCTCAAGTGATGTCAAATTACTATCAACGACTTTTTCCTTGGAAGCAACTCTTCTTATGATTGAATCAAGATACGGCGAGTCAACGTTTTATTCAATGAAACACAAGTGTGATCTTTGACTAAAAAACATGAACTCATGAAAGGATGAGTCAATCTTTGATAGTACCCAACTACGCCTTTACACATCAAGAGTTTACTGTCACCCTTCGAAATGAAGCTTACCTAAGATACAACTCTTATGCAAGTCATATCGAATTACAGAAGGATTTTATCAGATTGAACCCTACGCGATTCGAAATCGGATCTGCTTATACGGCCCAGCCCAAAGATCAAAAACGATCTTAAGAGAATCGGTCTTTGAAATTGATCTAACGGATTATGATGATATTCGAAGCCGTCGTTCTGAAGCAAAAAATTGTTTGAACTTCATTAACATTGCTGTACAAGTTCTAGATTTATCATGACAAGAAGATTTCTCATTTCAACGTCTTTTATGGGTTTATTCTGGTAGAGGAGGTATTCATTCTTGGGTGTCTTTGACCCATCCTATTCACCCTGCAATCGAACGTAGTTACAATATCCTCAAGGTTTACTTTCGAGAGATTGTGTTTGTAGAACAGGATGCTCTCAAGGATCCTGAAAAGTTGTCGACTGTACTGCAAGCCTTGAGTGAATCAGGTTAGTGTATGCTTGTGAATTTGTTGCTTGACTAAATAGATGATGGTCTATATTTTCTGAATATGTCGTTCTTTCATCAAACAGAAAAATTGAAGCAAATCTCTGAGAAGTTAACGATGGCGAAATCAATGACCTCGTTCGCCAAATGGGAAGAAATTCACAAGACGGTTGGACAAGAGATTAAAAACATCGATCGAAAGGCTAACTCTAGCTTCAGTGATCAAAGAAGGAGCCAAAGACTAAAGGAAGCACTGATCAATATTCAATTACATTGCACATATCGTAGAATCGATTTAAAAGTTTCTAAAAATATGAACCATCTTTTGAAAAGTCCGTTTTGTGTAAATCCTGGTACAGGTAAAGTTTGTGTACCTATCGATCCTACTCAAATTCATGCATTCGATCCAGAAAAAGTTCCAGATGTTAGAGACCTTTTAAGACAATTAGAAAAAGTTAAACTCAATCAAACTGGAGAAGGACCTCAACAAAGTAATCAACCTAATTGGGAGTAAACATCTTTGAAACCATATATTGAAGTTTTTGAAAAACATATAAATAAGATTGTAAGAGAAAAATTAAAATCCAAACAACGTGAGCTTTTCTTTCTCTTGATGTTGGTTTAATCTTACTTGTTTTGGTGTAAACTGATGATTGATTACTTCTTTTTGAAAAGACTACAGATGCACAAATGTCAGATAAAGCTCAATCTATGGAATTTTGAAAGGCTTTCATTCTTTTTCTCCTGGTTTAAACTTTTCTTTTCATTAGAAGATTTCTTGTGATTATTGATGTGTATTTGGGAATCTCTTTATTCAAATGTGACCATCAAATTTCAGTCAAGCGTTTTTAGATGATTCCATACAAGGGTGAGGGAGCCAGACCCAAATGAATAATAAGGTGAATCACTGATGAACTTACTGAGGTTGTCTCTCATACAAGAAAGACTGGTGAGAATCATCTTTGGCGATAGGATATCAAAGATGATAGGTTCGGTTCTCATAGGCATGTATGGATGTAGAACAAAGAACACATGCATGAGCTGGTAAAAAGGGCCAGCCTCCAGAGGGTCCAACCACCCTGTCTTGTGCATGTAGTGTAAATGATTGATGTTATTTCACTCACCTAAAGGAACTTGGCATGAGAAAAAAAAATCCTCTGAAGGACAGGAAGTGAACAATTTTGTCAAGAAGCTGACCAATACAAAAAGCATGATGAGAGGTAGAAGTTAAGTCTTGCCTTGAAAACTATGTTGAGGATCTCACAGAATTAGATATGAGTAGGACAAGTACACATGAAGACTAATGGTGGAGGTGTGGTGGAAGAGTCATTTGAAAATGGCTAATATATCTCAGGAACCAGGGGTGCTTCAGGGTCAAAATTTTGCACATTTGGAAGCTCCCGTTACAAAACCAACATTGGAATTCATGTCACAAACCAGAGGAGCTTTCCTCAAGCCTGTATGGATGCACCCATTTCATGAAGATAACACTGGCTGATGAATTCCCACTTGAGGTTCTGAATATGTCTGATTCTGTATATGTATTCATTGATAAAATAATGATGCAATGATACTTGCTTACTTTGCTCATCTCTAGACAAGGAAAGTAAGAGGAAATGGATCCTTGCTCATAGAATATGGCCTTTTCTCTAAACAGGGAATGACAGTCCCCTGGAACTCTGCCTCCGTCTCCCATCACAGCTTTCCTTATAAATAACACAAAAAACTGAAACCACCATGAATCTTCTCAGACTGCCTTGAATCATAAACATTAAAGGAGAACCATCAATTTGAACAAAACTAGACAAAACCCCTTACCTGCTTGAAAATTTGATAGTTTTGATTACTTAATGTTTCTGACTCTTTATGATGGTACATACTCCCAATGACAGATTTGACTTAGCTTGCCAGTTGTAACTCATTCACCGACTACCACCTAATCAAAGATTTTTTTATCAATTATTTACTTCATCAATCTTCTTCTCCTTCAAAGCAAACTCAATCTACTCCTCATTCTCATTCTCAACCTAAACCTCATCCAATGTAAGTCTTTTCTTTCAAACTTGGATTATCTTTAATCAAACTAATCCAATCACTTTCTTATCCACTTCAAATCATCATCATCTACAGTCCTCAAACTTATTCTACACAGGTAACAGTTACTTTGACATCAATACATCAAACTTGATTGTTTGGTTAAATTCTGTATTCTTTATTATTCTTCAACAGGTCCACGATCACCTACTAAGAAGATCAAACTATCACATCCTACTATCATCAACACCAATTCAAATTCGAACTACACTTGATCCACCTCAACAAACAAAGATGATCATCAAAAAAGTTTGTATTCTGATCCATCAAATCTACATACAGACATTCACATTCATCAAGAAAACTCATTTTCCTAATCACCCTTTTTCTTCCATTTCACTTAGAAACCTAAACCGAAAACCAATCCAAAAACAAAAACATCAAATCAACCAGAATCCCAGCACATCCAAAAGTTTCTTATCAATCTCGATTTCTTTATTCTTAAAGATCTCAATCTGTTATTTTGGTTTTGGATACTTTAATTTTTGTCCAAAAGATCCGACTCAGAACCCATTAGTTCGTTCAAATCTAGCCGAGCTACATTGGGCCTTATCACCACATCTTTCACCTTACATTCAAAGCTTTACTCAAGAGATCCATCAACCTGTCCAAGCCAAAGTGTCACAGATTTGGAACCAACATGTTTTTCCTACAATCAGTAAAGCTTCAAACCAAATTGAAAATCTAGAACTTGATCAAAAAATGAAACCTTTAATCAATGATTTAAAAGATTGTTATAAATCAACTTTTACTTTAGTCAGACCCTATTTCAAATTGGTTTAAAAGCCACCTTAAAGACTTGAAAAATCGAAATTCATTAATCGGATCAAACAGAACTCGATCCGACTTAAATCTCATAGAATGATCAAATTCAATTAAACTTACATCCAAACATTAAAAAACCCTATCAAAATGAAATCAATCCGGTTTTCCTTGAATATTGTAAACCTAAATCAATTGAATTCAAGAAGATGATCTTGAACATCAAGTTTGGTTTAAATCAAAAGTGACCGTTGACACAAGTTTGGTATCTTTAAATCCAATCGAAGTATCAAAGATATACAATTTATGTAAAGAGTTTTCAATGATCAAATCAGGTATGATCGAAACCAATTCAGCTTTATGTAATCTTGCTAAATACATAAAGATCTCATCAATCGGTTGTCCTTCATCTGTTTCATGCAATTCAGGTCGTTTGTTAGATAATAAATCTAGAATTAGCTTTTGTCCTTTAGGTGAAAGCAATCTTTTGGTACATCTCTTAGGATCGTTCCAGATAAATGTTTGAAAGCTGATTCAATATCACCATCATCTGAACGAAACCCAACCAAGCCAAGAAAGAAACATGAAGATCAGTAAATCATAAGCAAAAATTGAAATAAGGTGGACGGTTTGGAAAAGTATAAGACCTAAGATTAATGTATGTTCATCTTGACCATCTTCAGCAGCTTGAATAGCAATCCGATGTGACATGCTATAAGCCACATGACCGACTTCTACAATTTTCTTATCTGCTTTAGTTTGATTTTCAACTCGTTCATTTATTTCAATCACTCTTGAATCATTATACATATAAAATCGCATCTGAAAACTTAAAACTAAATATGAAGTTAATTTGTTCATATGATTTCTTCAAATGGTTCTTGATTTTGATGAAACTATTTGTATTGAACTAAGGATTGGTATAATAGGGGGTGTCAAGTTTGTTTTTTTTACGGTTTTTACCGTAAAAATTCTCTCCCGCTGTAGCATAAATTTACACAAATTTTATGCAAACGGGAGAGGATTTATGTATCCCGTTTGCGTAAAACGTAAACAATTTATGCTTACAACATTTGATCAAAGAGCTCGCCTTGACCGATTCGCTCTGAGACACAGTGGGCTTAATAGTGGATGCAAGGACAACCTTGCATCCTTTTACCAGCAGTTTTCACCTCACCAGGTGGATGATCGAGGCCAAAATGTAAAAAAACCTCAATCATGGTTTAGCAGTTATTAAACAACCACGGCTAAGTTTTTTTTGAGTTATAACATAAAAACTTAGCCGTTTCATAGTTTTTTTTGTTATAAAAAATCAAACTTGACACCCCCTAATGTTTGATTATCTCATGGATGTTTATGTAAAACCTCAAGTTCAAAAGATTAAAAAGTCATATGAATATTGTGAAAGAAAACAAATTAAAGTAGAAGTAGAAGATCTTAAAGACATCTAAGCATGAAGAAGTTCAAGAACCTATGGGAGTTGTGGAGGAAGAAAGTCAACCTGAGGAGCCGGTCATAGTGGTTGATGAGGAAGTGAAGGTTGAAAAACATGTGATTGTTATCAAGGAGAAGATACCCAAAAAGCCAGTTGTAGTTATTGATGAGGAACAAGTGATTGAAGAAACTGTCAAAACAATAAAGAGCCAAAGATCACCAAAAAACCTACTTTAGTTATCAAGAAAGAACAGATGATTGAAGAACCAGCTGTAGTGATTGAAAAAGAAGAGATAGTCAACAAACCTGATGTAACAATCCAGGAAGAACGGTTTGAGGTGTTTGAAGAGTCAGAAGCAATGATCAAAGAACAGTCTACAATATTCAACTAAAGAAATTAATTAATTGAATCAAATAATTTAAAATGAAACAAAAAGAACCTAAAAGAGTCAAATTGAATGATAAACAAACAAAAATTGATTTGATTTGAACCAAAAGGGAAAAGTTAATAAAGAAATTGAAGAAATGGTTTGAAAAGAATGAAAAGTTTGAATTGAAATCTATGGAATCTAAACTAGAAGATATCAATCTGATCATTAAGAAATCTAAGGAGAAATTTAAATCAAAAGCGATTGAAGTGGAATTAAATTGAATTGAAGAATTTGAGATGGATCAGTTGAAGGATGAGGTGAAGGATTTAGAAGACATTTGGGTTCCTTTGCAGGATTATGTGGTCAAAGTTCAAGCTGTACTTGGACCTGGGTTTACTTGGTGAAAAGATGTGACTTATAAAGATTGGGAAAGTAAGTGATCTTTTTTTCAAGTCTTTCTTTCCTCCTTAAAAACATCAAGAATACTGATGAGTGAATTCTTTGGAATTGGGGGGGTTCAGGTTATCATTCATTTTCAAGTATGTCAAACAAATGCAAAGCAAGGTCTCAAGAATTGATCTTGAATGGAAGAGATCTAAAGACAAATGAAAGTTTACAATGTCCAGAGTTTTTTAAGAAGATTAAAGAGACTTATGAATTGGTTTTAGATGAAGGTAGAGTGTTTGATTTAAAATTGGATAGGTTAAGGGTTAGGTATGTTGAAAGGTGGAGAAGGAAAACAGTTGGGAGGGGAAAGATGAGCTTTAGGGTAGGTTTTTGGAAGTACTTGGAAGGTTTGGAAGTTGGAAAGCAGAAGTTGGAGTGGTTGGAGGTTTTGAAGACTACCTTGTGAAAGTAAACATTTTGATTTGGTTTGATTATTGATTACAGATAGGTGTACGGTCCTTGAAGATAATTGATTTTGGGAGTATGATTCTTTAGAAAACCAAAAAGCTTGATGATTTGTTACAATTTTTTTTCATTGAAACCATTCACCACTCATCCTAGAAATAAATGAATTCTTGAAATCTACATAAAAAGGGATTCAATTTCTTTTATTCATTTTTACATATAATCTTTAATGATGTTATATTTTTTTCACTTTTTTCTCTATTATTGTGATTAAATTATCTTATTATGTGAATCACCTTTCAGTCTTTGGATTTAATTTGGATGAGAAGAATTTTGTATACAACATCAGAACTGTACATTGTCAAACCAAACCAATATTGTTTTAATTCTGCCCATGAAAGATAACCGTTAAAGCTGTATAAATCAAGGGGGCTACTAAAAAGCGCCCGCAAATAAAACCTGAGACCGCCCGCTTTTAGAATCCGGTAGTTACTAAAGATGTTTGACTGAACTGTGGTTCAGTCTTGAGGAACTAATTTGTCGAGTGTCCCAAATGTGATTGAAATCAAATAGGTGTGACAACTTCTATGTTCAATTGCAATTTCAATGATCAATCAATTGTGATCTCAATAATTGATTGACTCTAATACTCGCTACCCACATCTCATCCCTCGTATTGATTGTTTATCTTGACTAGATTGTTCAGCTCGGCTTGAAATACAATCACATCACTGAACAGGACCTGAGCCTCTTAGCAATCCCCTCAGGCTTGACTATTCTCTGTCTTGTACCAGCAACAAGGCTAGAAGGCAGAAAGGATTCAAGTCTCTGAGCTCTTGTGAGCATTTGAAGGTTTTACTTGAGTTTGATGACTTAATTGCTTTGTCTGGGTATAGTCTCAAAGGTTGAGGCTACATTCAAACACAACTTCGATTCATCCCGGTTTTGTGGATCCTAGGGGTTTATCGCGAATTTGTCCGACCTGTAAGTTGAATAGCGTCAACACCCTTTCAAACCAATGCAAGGAGCGTCTCATTGTATTCCTGCTTCAACAACTACAAGCAAGACGTGTATGCAATGAAAAGGAGAAGGGGTGGCAAGAAATTGGTGGGTTCCGAAGCGAGATAGGAAAAACAAACGAGTGATAATCAATCAAAATATTCAACTATGTAGATTGACCGAGTGTCTTTGTGAGTTTATACAGCTCTTGGATCAGATACAAGCAGATTAAGGTCTTCAAAGAATAAATCGCATTCCAACTTGGGTAGGAAGAAATGGAGAGACTTGCAGAAGAGGGGCAGTTCTAGCTTCATCGAGTTTGAATAGGAGTGTTCAAAGCTGAAAACTTGACATTTTGAAAGAGATTTTGAAGCGAGAATTTTGAACTGTGATTTTTGTAGGGGTGGCGAGAGATCGGTGGGTTCCGAAGCGAGATAGGAAAAAGAAACGAGTGATAATCAATCAAAATAATCAACTATGTAGATTGACCGAGTGTCTTTGTGATTTTATACAGCTCTTGGATCAGATACAAGCAGATAAAGGTCTTCAACGAATAAATTACATTCCAACTTGGGTAGGAAGAAATGGACAGACTTGCAGAAGAGGGGCAGTTCTAGCTTCATCGAGTTTGAATCTAGGCAAGGAGGGTGTGAAAACCTTTTTCGCGTGTACTCATGACCACTTCTCTTAACACCAGCCCCACCAGCCGGAGCTTTATAGGTGTGGTACAGAACTTGGTTAGAAAAGAAGTAAGAAACACGCCAACTATCCTGCTTAGATGTGGGTAGCGAGAGCGGGAGGTTTTGGAGGGGTTTTGCATGGTGGGTTTTTGACTGTTGTCGATCATTTTCAAGACCGCCCGGTTTCCATTTGATTTGATTTCAATCACATTTGGGACACTCGACAAATTAGTTCCTCAAGACTGAACCACAGTTCAGTCAAACATCTTTAGTAACTACCGGATTCTAAAAGCGGGCGGTCTCAGGTTTTATTTGCGGGCGCTTTTTAGTAGCCCCCTAAATCAATTGCAACAATCATCACCCAATCCATCTGTAGAGCTGTCCACATATTCTCTTCAAGTTGACTCTTACAAGGCAATGTCAGCAAGCACCTGGAGAGACCTTTTTGGATCCCTCTAGAGTTTCAATTTTTTCTACATATGTAGGTGTGACAACTTCTATGTTCAATTGCAATTTCAATGATCAATCAATTGTGATCTCAATAATTGATTGACTCTAATAATTTTTGTCCTTAAAAATTGCAAGGATTCATAAACACAACAGAGTCCCATGCTTGCCTCAAGCAAGGCTGAAGTGATCAAGTGACTTACGCCAAACTTGTACCGTCCATAACCTTGCAGTAGAGGGTTTTGCAGGGAGCTTCCTTCAATCCCCTTTATCTGTTTCCACACCAAGGATTCAGGCATGGTCCAAAGAGGAAAACCATGAGCCGGATAAGGCACATATTGTACAGTTTTTTCACCAAGGAAAGCACCATTATTACACAGATAATAGATGAACAAAATCAACTCATTTCACACCATGGGAATTAATTAGTTCAAAACCCATTTGAACCAAATTTTGGTGTCCGGGTTTGAAGTTTCCTCAACTTGTGATTTTTTTTTCACAACTTGTTTGCAATATGTTTGCTGATTTCCCTTGAGCGATACTCTGTCCACACATCATACAACAACAACACCTTTCAACATCAGTCACCACAGATTCACCAATTGTACAGAGGATCATGACTGAAGATGCATGACAAAGGAAAGATGATTGAATGGTTGGAATTGGGGTTTTTGTTGTATGATAAAGCTGTACAAGTAGACACAGAAAAGTTACAACACCCTTGGGGCCAAAAAGATCATTACAGGGTGATGTATAATTTCTGTGTCTACTTGTACATACATACACCGGTCCAACAGAGTACCACTCAAAGGAAATTGTCAAACATATTGCAAACAAGTTGTGAACAAAATTCAAGATTCAAGGAAATTTCAAATCCTGACACCAAAACTTGGTCCAATTGGGTTTTGAACTAATTAATTCCTGCGGTGTCACTGGCACTTCCCATATGTGTGGTCTACATGTACAAAAGCTATTGAAGCCAAAACTTTGAAGCAATTTTGTTCATGGAGTGGAGCAGTTTCCTCAGTGAAAAATCTGTATGATATGTGCCAGAGTAAGACACATAGTTTTTCTCTTTCCTTGGTGGAATGAGATAAAAGTAAATTGAGGAGGCTCCCTGCAAAACCCTCTAC